ATCGTGACCCTCGTTAGAGCCGGGGCATCTTAATATCCGCCCGCGCGACAGGGGGATTTTTCTCCTCTTCCTGTCCACGGAGCAATCGTCCGATTACGTCTCCCGCGTAACTTTACGGTCCGCGCATGGAGCGAGATGTTACGCAAACGCGCCGTAGAAAGTCGGACGATTAAGAGTGAGGCCTTCTCCTCGCGGCGCGGCAGCGGTGGCCGCCCGGAGTGGGTGAGTGAATCGCAGGCTCCGTGGGGATTTCCCGCGAGTACGCGCGTTCATTTACGCACGCAGATTGGAAACACGTCGCGCCGTCCCGGGAAATTGGCGCGGAGGCGCATCGCGCTTTCCTTCTTTGTGGAAGACAAGCTGGAGTCACGGACGACGTAGAGGAAGCGAAGACGCGCACTTCCACCAGGAAACGCTGGAAACTCATTTTCGTCGTTGATTGAATAACGCCTCGCCGCGTTCTCGCGTTATTTCCTGTTGGCCCGACACGATTCCGGGAGCGCGATCAATCGTGAATTCGCGATACTCGCGCGAACAGCCCGTGCCTCTCGCCGGGGAGAGATCGTCGAATCGCACCGTAAAATTGATCCGTAAAAAGTTCATTATGCTTATCATCCTCCTCTTACGACTTCGGTTTAAAGTCCAGATTTTATTTACGGTGCCATAAAGCATTAAAGCGTTTGATTCAAGAGACTCGAGGAACGTGATAACGCAGTCTCTCGCCGTGTACACGTTTGCATATTTTTATGCAAAATACCGCAGCGTATCTTTAATAGGAAGACGAGATGTTAAGGCGAAATAAACGGCCGCGTCTTCAAGACCACGATTCGGGCAAACGAAACAGGTGGAGACAAGTGTGTATAGATCTTTTCAAAAGGCAATGATTAATATATCGTCAAAATAGTTGAAAATTAATTTCTGTTCCCCCAATATATTTATAGTGAAATTCTACTACAAATAAACACCAGATTTTGTAAGATATAAATATATAACATGTATACAGGGTGAGTCTTTCCATATCCGACAAAATTTTTGGGAAGGTAGAACGGATCGAGATGAACGGAAAAGTCCTGTACCATTTTGCAATTTTCGTAATAGTTAACGATTAATTAATTATTAAAAATCGTTGTCTTAGGCCGGCCTACCGCCCAATTCGAGCGCGTGGCAAGATGTGACCGCCTGGCGATCGATAATGCTATGCGCACATCTCGCCACGCG